CTACAGAAAGCTGTACTTCTGGCTGTCTACAGGTCTTCAGAGTTCATGAAGAGAAGTTGGCAACACTGAGGTGTAATTCAGACTATCCAAAAGCAAATATATAAAATAGGCCAGATGAACCACCTCGCAGGACAGTTCCTCTCCGTTGACTATAAAGAGAGTCTGCAGCAATTAGCTCAGCTACAGACATCTAAACTCTAGTTACCCAGAATAGCTGAAACGAATCCCACCGCTTGTGTCAGCAAACTGAAAATGGCTTATAATAAAACCCATTTTCTTTTCAACGGCTCAGCTATGACGTGAAAGTCTGGACTATCACTGACACACAAAAAAATGAACATTAGCGGAGTCGAGGTCCCCCCTGCCTGGCTGTGAGAGGAGACCCTGCCTACTAGACCCCGAGGGGAGCTCAGGCTTTCAGCAGAGCACCAGAAAGACTCATTACCTCACCAGATCATTAGACAGAATCTGCAATCAAAGACGGCGTGTCATTTATGGACACCTATAATGCAACTAATAATTGGTAGAATTTCTGAAAATAAAACGTGGCAAGTTCCCTTCCCGCTCTCCCGGCTGTTCCCATCAGCACGGCGTTAGCCAGAACCCAGCCGGTGTGCTGACACAGCTCCCCAATTTCCTTTCCCCTGCTCCATTTCCTTTTCAAATTGAAAACTATTAGGAGTCTTTAGGCAAATAATAGAAACCTAATGCAGGTGCCTGTTATAAATCGTTCGCTAGTTACTTTTAACCTAATGTCTCCTCAAACATCGCTTCGCAGAAGGTGGCGAGAGGAAGAAATGCCTCATGAACTCTGACAATCAGTGGGTCAGGAGTTAAGGTCATAATAATGTAGCCCATTTCTTCTTGTTTGTCAAATGACCTGAACACAGTTAGATCCCTGAGGCTTTCATCTGAGATTGGCTCCCCTCAGTAAGAGCATGGGTCTTGCCAAGAGCAATCTTCATCTAGGATCGTACCCTGCTGTACAGCCTGAGGCAGGGAAGGGGCCATATGGCTGGCAGAGCCAGGTTGGTGCTAGTTTAGGATTTTGCAACACCCAATGCAATAGCTTTCCTAGGTACAACTTGGTGATGTGCTTGGTCAAGGTCTGCCACATGTCTGAGGTTGAATTAATCAATGTTTAGGAGGTAGCTTGACTTTGGTAAATAGAAATCACTTGAGAAATTTCAAGTAATCTGCAGGCGAAATAAAATAGGAAGTAAACATTAATAACAAGAGTTAGTAATGACTGGTTTTTATGCAAAATAGACAAATGTACAGAAGAGCCTATTAATTCTGAATCACTGCAGTAAATATCTAGGCTTAAGAGTTGGAAATGCTGCCTAAAATGCCAATGTGATCAGTCAATGTTAAAATTTGCCTTCATCATCTAGGCATCACGTGTCTTATTCTCAGAGACAAATCCCTCCAATGTTCACTGGAAATAATACCAAGCATTTCACAGGGGATAAACCTCCAACTCCATGTATGTACAAAATAAGGTGTGCAAGAGGACAATCTGTTGGCGTATATGCTCCTGAACACATCGGGCAACTGTCAGGGTGTTGGAAGTATTTCTCATCATGCTGGGTACCCTCACATGCAGCACTGAGTGGTGCTACATTGGTCACAGATCACTTTCCCCATTTGGCTCCCCAGCGAGGTGTAAATATTTCAGAGCTAATGCATAAGTCATGTACACCTGTGATTCTGAGTGCTGTAGTTGTAAGACATAACTCTTGGGTATTTCTGAGCATGGAGGAACATGGATTATTTTCTGTCATTGCAAACTGAAAATACATGGAGATTTTTAATGTTTAACGCTCAGACTGGTTCTGCAAATTCTTGGAAGCCATTGCCTGCAGCCCCAGGCAACATCTAAGCGATGTTCTGCAAACACATGCACACTGCCAGGCCTGGCAGTCACTCCAGGCTGTGTCCACACGTGACTACCTACTGAGGCCCCATATCACTGACAGCCAACATATGGAGTTAATTCACCTAAAAATGAACGCCCCAACACACTTGCTATTACTGTGCAGGTGGACAGGACATTGTGACAGCAAACAACATCAGAGGGATTCACATCATTGCTGCATCAGTAGGTGTTGGGTGCCTTTGTGCTTTCTTTGTGAATAAATCCAGACCTCATAGAAAATCCTGGGTGCATTAGTCATTTTACACTCATGCTAGAAAAATGAGAGAGTTAAGCTTATTTATGGATAAAATGTTTGAAATAATAAAAGGCACCACACTGTGGGCTCTACTGATTGGAATGGGTGAGTAAGGTATAGCTCCTGGAGAGCAGGAGAGCAGGGTGGCTTCCCCAGATGGTTTGCTTTGTATATGCAGAGCCTGGTGTTTTGACTGTGAGGTGAAGGGGGAGATGGGGAGGCATATTAGTGGTATGCTAATGTAAGGGTAAGGAAGCAGTCGCTCTCACTGCCCTGAGAAGGAATACTGATGCGGGTCCTCAGGTGCAGGCAGCAAGGCTCATGGGTCTCTGAACAAGAGAACTGCCCCCTGATGTACTTCTGCTGTGCTGAGGAAAATAAGACTCTGTCTACATTGTTAAATAAATAAAATAGAACAAAAAAAGAGCTGATTTTTATTATAGACCTTACAACCAAGGAAAATACTATATACTGTTCAGGAACAACCTGCTCTAGGTGGACCTGCACTGGCAGGGGGGTTGGACTACACTACTTTTTGCGATGCCGAGTGGGACTTAAATACCTCTGTTGCAGGCAGTGCCTTGTGAAACATTTGGTGTTAGTCTCTGTGAAAGACACAGTTAACTTAGATAGACATGTGTCTGATCTAAGATACCTATTATTTTTCTCATGAAAGCAGTCACCCTAAAGCAAAGGGACATCAAAGAAATTCTAATGTACAGAGTATAAACACTTTTCTTTGTAGAGAAGGAGCCATTTGTCCACCTCAACCTATTATCTAGTAATAAAACTAGAATAAACACAAACACTGTAATTGCATCTCTCCACTGCATTCTCCCATGTGCTCACATCCTTCCCTTCTCGGGTTTTCCAGATTGCCAGCTTTTCTCAATTTCATTTTTGTTTTTTTTGTTTAATAAATACTCCCAAACAATTTTTTAGGGCCACATTTATAGTGACAAATAGAGATTGAACTGCTGGCACAGGCATACAGTGGTGTGTACTTTGTCACTAGTACCTTTAACAACTTCTGTATGAGACTATCACGAGGGAGTCAGATGTGATTAAATGGATTTTTCACAATACTCATACCTCTCCTACAAATGTCACAATGCTGCAATGCCACAATACTACTAAAACTTTTGAACTACTGATGTAGCTATCATAATGATATAGGCATGAGATAATTTTTGGTATCATTAAGCAAGGTGACAGTGCTATAGCTTGTCATTCACCACCAGTCCCAGTGTTGTGTGGAGATTATGAAGTATTATTGGTCCTATTTACTAACTGGGACATCACTGGCAGCAGTAGCCCTTTACATTTAAAATATAGTTTCTTACTCCGTTCAGCTGTTTTCTCATATCACACCAATGGATCTTACGATAAAACATGGCCCCAAACATGGTGCTTCCAACTCAAAAAATCTCTGCAGTTTTTTTTTTCTGCTATTCAATAGGCTTCATCATAAAACTAATATTGCTGACTCTATAAAATAATTCATAAAGCTTTTCTACAGCAAAGGAGCATCATAGAAACAGTATCACCGTCACTCGTGGTGAGATTGTTTTTATTTCCCCTACGGGTACTTGCAGCCTCCGGTCTGTATTTGTCACTGACTCATCAGACTTTGAGAGCTCGATTCAGTTGTTTAAACACAGGCATCTGTTTTCACTGAGTCACTTTATGGTTTTCCATGTGAGATCCGTGGGGAGGGCACAGAACCTCCTGGACATCCCCGCTTCCCCGGAGCAGCAGCCAGAGGTTAGTCAGGACACTGAGGGCATCTCAGGTGACACTACACAGCCAGAACCCTGACAATGCCAGCAGTCTGACTTACTATTCTGTACAAGTGTTTACCTGCACACTGGTGTGTACAGCTGCCAAACACAGTCCAACTCGCTTAGGCCTCTTTGTCACATCTAGAGGAAGGGCCTCTCAGCCAGAAAAGTCCTTTTTTCCCAAGAGCTGCTCCTCTGTTCTTTGGTGTTCAGAGACATGCATCCTGAAATGCGCTCTTTAATAGGTTATTTCAGTTTGGGCTCAGTTGATTCTTAAGTCTTCTTTGAAATTTTCCACAGGGCTGAATGAGCTATATTATAGAGAAAAACCCAAGTCCTGTTAAGTCTGTAGACATTTTGCCACTGACTCCAAAGAAATCAGGATTTTATCCCAGAAAGTTTCTGTCTGGACCGAGAAAAGCATGTCTTTCAATTGCCATCACAGTTATCTGGATGGAGGAACAAAGCTGGTCTCAGTGATGAATGATCTGCCCCTTAGACCGCAGTGGAAAAGGCACCAATGTAGCTACTCTTGGAGAAAGCAAAAGGAAACTGGACTGAAAGTTAGATCTGTTTGTTCTCTGAATTTTTTAAAGAGCAGCTCCAGAAGTGTTACTTGCATTTTATTTAGTACTTATAGTGCAACAGCAATGAAAGCTAACATTACAGGGAGTGTGTGTTCCCACCAGAAAATGTCTTCAACAACTCATAAAAACCTGGCCATTTATCAGCACTGCAGGAGATCTTTATTACCTCCCTACAGCATGTGCTCTCTTATGATGTAGTTATTGATTTAACAAGCAAACTTCGTAGCAAGCTTTTATCTTGGAATTAGCAGCAAGACTGAAATAGAGCTCTTATTATTCTAATAACACAGAGATGTGAGATTCCTGCTTATTCCAAAGGCCATATCATCACCTTTACAAGCATCCCATTAGTGCTGTCTGGGCTGCCACATCAAAGTGTGGGCTGTGAGATCTTTAACAATTATGATATCGTACTCACCCCCGGCAACTTCACAACCCTTTTGCTTTTCTTCCTACAGGTTTGGACATCAGGCAAGCTCAGGTTATTGTGCTGTCCTCAGGCACCAAATGTATAAATGGGGAATACATTAATGACCAAGGGCTTGCGGTCAATGACTGTCATGCAGAAATTGTGGCAAGAAGGGCATTTGTTCACTTCCTCTACTCACAGCTGGAGCTACACTTAAGGTAACTGAATTCTGTTGATGCCTGGGGAATGTTATATGGCCTTCAGTGGAACAGATTCATCCTCCAGACATTTGAACTATTTGTTTCTTTATGTTGTTTTTTCTGAGTCTTTGGCTGATGAAGGACCAATACACTGCACAGAAAAAATGAGAGAGTTAGACAGTTAGACTCTTGGGTCATGAGTTCCTTTACTTCAGCTGATTTTCTTTCAGTAGCTATTAGATATGTCTCATAAAGTTGGGTTTTATGAAGCCTGATGATTTTATACAAATCTTTACGTGCAGGCTTATTAGCATCATTCACTGGCCAGAGACTGGAAGGGGGGCATTTTGCTCACTGCAGACATTTTTCTGTCTTCATTCTGCTGCTGAAATATCTCTAGGAAGTGATTTATTGATCATTAATGCTTTCATTGACTCACTAGAGAAGCAATGAGTGTTAACAGTACAGTAAACTTTGTGCCAAAGTGCAAGATGCTATCACTCACTCCTTCTTTATGATGTTTTAAAATGTTATAGCATGTAGAGTTATTACAGAGGAACTATTATTCCTGTCTTCAGCCAAACCCACCTTGTTACTATTTAAATGGTTAATGGGTCATACACTGCCTGGAAGACGGTAACAAGTAGGGTGCCAGAGAGGTCTATTCTGGGCCCTCACTAATCATGACTACCAACAATCTGGAAAAAGCTATGTAGTGCTTGCTTATAAACTTTGCAGAGGACATCAGATTGCGGGGAGGACCAGTCAACATGCTTGAGGACTGGACTGCCATCCAGACAGGCTGGAGGACTGGGCCAGCAGTAGCTTTGGTAGAAAACTCAACACAGACAAATAGAAAGTCCCACATCAAGGATGAAAGAATGACTTGCATCAATACAGGCTAGAGCCCTATGGTCTGGGGAGCAGCTCTGGTGAAAAGGGACAGGGTTTGTAGGCAAACAGCAAGCTGAACGTGAGACTGTAGTCTGTGGGGCAGCAAAAAGGGTCAACAGGATCCCAGCCTGTATGAAGAGTCAGTCAAACAATGTGATCATCCCCCACTACTCTGAACTGATTAGACCACATCTACAATACCATGTGCAGTTCTGGGTGCCCCAATACAGGAAAGACATCTACCATCTGAAGCAGGTTCAGCAGAGGTCACCTGGATGCTCAAGGGCAGGAGAACTTGGCCTGCGTGGAGGGCCTGAGGCACCTGACTCTGGTCAGCCTGGAGATGGGATGGCGAACCCAGCAGAGCATATGTCAGCAAGACAATGGATCTGCCATCTTTCCCAAGGTCAAAGTGGGAAGGTGAAAGACAACAAGCACACACTGAAACAAGAGAAACTCAGTCTGAATACGAGGACAAACTGCCCCCATGAGAAAAGGCAAGCAATGAAACAGGGCACCTCGCAGGGTTGTGCAGTCTCCCTCCTGTCCTGGAGGTTTTCAAAACCTGAATGGATAAAGCCCTGAGCAACCTGGCCACCTGTGCTAAGCAGAAGGTTGGGCTAGAAACCTGAGGTCCTTTCCAGCCTATGATTCTGTGACGACTGAGCAGAAGTGAAGCTGAGGCAGCATTTATTATATTGAAGGAATCAAGGAATGAAGGAAGCAAGGAAAGAAAACAAACAAACACCACCCCCCGCCTTATCTACAGGCCATTCTTCTGCCCTCCGTTTTTTGCTTGCATTTTCATGTGACTTTATCTGAAGGCCATTAACCTCAGTGCAAAAACTCCCTTGGACTTCAAAAGGTTTTGCATCAGATCACAAACACAAGGATTAATCTGAGCAAGATTGTATGTTCCTGTGAGGCCCCTATGATACTGTTGCACCAAAGCAACAATAATAGGAATAATGGTTATTTTCACTTCAGGCTGGGGTTGAAGGCAAGAGAGTATATTGAGTAGATGAGCTTGGCTAACAAAGGGAGACAAGAGCCTTGAAGGATTTAATCAAAAACTATATTCTCTCTATTTCAATCTGAATTGCTTTCAAGTTTACATTAAATTATTATGTTTTCAGCAGTGTAGCAGCCACAGTACTTGCTTTGTGTTCCTATCTCTTGGGAAACAAGTGCTACCACTGTATCTTAAACCATTGTATTGATCCACCTCCCTGACACGTTCAGTCATATTATTATTTTATTTGGATCAATGTTAACAGTCTTTTGTTAAGAGAATCCTCGCTGCAGCACATGCTCTGTTCACAATAACTTAAAATCACTCTCTGTTCAGCCAAGAGCAGACACGGCTGCTTCCCTGACCAGCACACATGATAAAAATCTCAACCAAAATTGTCAAGGCTAAGCACCTTTGAAAGACAGAGCCGGAGATATTGTCAAATCAGGTTTTGCTTCCTTAAAGCCCATGGGGAAGCAAAACTGTGTGTTGTAATATATTCTTCAATTCTAGTGTTTCTTGCTAGACTCAGTTTTATGCCATCATCAGGAGCTTTATCATATGGCAAGAAAACTGGGGTATTCAAAATGAAATGAAAAATGCATTTTCTGCACATTGCAGTCACATTTACCCCTTTCTCTCTAGAAAAAGAGAGAACTTCCAATCGCAGAGAAATCACATGGTGCTACTGCAGAGCTAAAAGAACACGATTTTTAGGATAGACATGTTAACTCAGCTCCACTGGGACTCCCTGTACACCAGCTCCTCAGGCTTGGGGGAAACACAAACATGGTTTCTATGTTGTTATGCATTTAGATGAGCATAGTCCAAACTTAAGTCCTGTCCCAGGTCAGGAATCTGTTGTACAAAGTCATACGTGAACTGAGACCAAAAAGATGGTTCCCTAACCCCCCCAAAAAATGAAAGCATAGCTCTTGCCTCAAAGAGCTTAAATTTTGCATCTCTCCCTATGAAATAGGGAAGTTTTTTCTGTGTGAGTATTCCCTGTTTTCCATTTATCTTAACCTATCACCAAGTCTACCTGCTCAAACTGATCTCTGCAGCTGGATTTCAAACTTCAGGAACTTCCAGTGTAATAATTATTTTTTATGTGATGCTGTCCTTGAAAAGGAAACACTTTTCCGGAATTTACAAATACTGCCATTAACCTCAGTGAAAGCAAAACATGTACTTGCCTGAGTGCAGCATGAAGGCTTCAAAGAGCAGGGACAAGCAGACTGGAGAAAGCAAGGGCCAGGATAGAGAAGTAATGGCCAATGGACGCACTGAGTTGAATTTACTTCTTGACACGTTACTTGAGATGTCTAAAAGTTTGTCAGTCAAGTGTGAACTAGATTCCCAAGGCTCCTTTTACCACCAGTGGAGAGAGATGGGCATCTCTGGAGTGGAACTCAGCAGATCTATTCAACTGTCTGTCGTGGGTGAGATGAATTGTCAGGTACTGGGGTAATTTTTTTTTCTCTATAAAGAGGGCAGAGGGTGATTGCTTCAGCTATTTAAACTGCAGAACAATCCCATCCACAAGCCAAAGTTGCAGCAATATGTAAATGACAGGTTTTTTCCTTCTCTCCATATTGCTGACTTTCCTTACTTTTCTTGGGAAAGAGAGTTCCAGAATGGGAACTTTATCCTCTCTAAGAAGCTGGACTGACAAATACTTCAAAAGGAAACTTTCTTTCAACAATTCATTGTCTAGAGCTTGAGTTAAATAAAAGCTAAAAGCACAACTAAAACCTGACAGCTTTTAACCAGTCTGATTAAAACCCTTAGCCCTCCCAGATTTCATTTTTATGACAACCATAATCCTCCAGTTCTCAAGACTTTCACGAAAAAGATGAAAAGTAAGATGTAAATTTTCTGATGTACAAAAGAAGGACAAGAAAGACCTTTTGAGAAGCTTTTTCTAAAAATCACCATCAAAAAGTACACAAATATCATATTCTGATTCTCTTGCCGTGATGGCAGTAAAATTCACGTTGATTTCAGTGTGATTATTTATACCAACTGGCCAATAAGGAAGAAAAGAAAATCCAACTCTTCTTTTTTAAAGAAAAAACCCTAATATCCTATTCTTAAAATAAATCAGTACCCTAGCAGTCTTGCTGCAGTAGTGGCCCTGCAGGTACTGGAAGGATGATTTTACCAGAAGCTAAGTTCTTCCAGTGAGTCAGATGCAAACCACTGTTTATTTTGTACATAAAAAGCAAGGAATAGTCTTCATCTGGTCCAGTTAAGTTTTTTTCCCCAGGAAAACCAGCTGATGGTTATACATGTACTATTTGTCCTACTAGCCTCTCAATGGACACAGCTCCTTCTCTTTTAAGCCAGCTGTTAGTTTCTCTAGGATGCTGTGCTGTAGTGTATAGTACTAGAAATTTCCCATACACACGTTTACATGCTAAAAACAGCTCCTCTGCATCTCTTTTAGAAAGTAAGGCCTTGTTTCAGCAAAACACTTTGCATACATTAAACCATAAGTAGGTGCTTAAATCTTCTTGAAGTCAGCTCGAAACATATGCATGTGTTATGCTAAATAATGAACTTAAGCACAAGATTAGAATTTAGCATACTCTTAAATGTTCTTCTTGAATCAGCCTCAAATCTTAGCTCCCCCACAGAAACTCATAACAGACAGAGGTTTAGGGAGAAATTCTGCTTTTTCAGCCACTGCCAGCATGTGGAAACGACTCTAATAATGAATGACATTTGTGGGCTCGCTGTGGGCTGCTCTCCTCATTGCAGAGTACTGCTGCTGCAAACTCATTGTCCCCGTCACAGCTCAAAACTACAATCCCAGAGGGAAGGCAGAAGTGCACAGGTGGTGGGGAAGAAGTGACTTTGCAGAAGTGCATCGTGTGCCCTATTTGGCCCAGTTTTACAAGGTCCCCGGGTCCCTCTGAGGTTTGAAATCCCCCAAGCCTCCTACGCACAAGAGTCCCCACAAAGCCACTGTAGGTGATATTGCATCCCAAACTCGTTTCTAACAATACTCTCAGAGCTTTCTTATTCGACCTACTCAGCCACTGCGTGGGGATGAATCTCATGTCTGAGTTCAAAAAACCATCCCAAAGGCAGGTCAGGACCATATGTGATAGGGAGGATCTCAGCCTCCTGGAGGAAGAGTCAGGCTGCCTTGCCCTCCAGCCCTGCCATCTATTTTTAGAGCAGCTGTCTGTCACCCAGCTCATCAGCCACACTGGCCGCAGACCCTTCTTGGTACTCAGGGAGAAGGCAGAGAGCGAGGTTAATCAGTGAAAAACAATAACCAGTAAAAACAGGATGGGTGCTGATTACTGTGAACTGCCGAAATCCAGTCCAAAGAATGACTGCTCCAACCCTACATAGCAACTGTTTCTAAGTAAGTGCAAGCTGCCCCCCTCTCCTCTGGTGAGGTTTAACATAATAATAGCAGGCGTTAGGACTGCACAGCTTTGTATTCTCCCAGCTGATTTTGCAGTGAATTATTTAAAACTAACTGCAATCGCTCTGAAGTCCAAGCAGCAGTACTTACAGGTATTTTATTAGTTCAGAGGCTTGTATCAGGGCGATAATATAATTAGTGCAGTTGGGAAATTCCACCACAGCCAGCAGAAAATGAAGGAGCTGCATGTGGCTCAGCAGCCGGTGTGGCTCCCCGTCCCTGACAGGCGAGCTAATGTGCCTGTAAATTCCTCCTGACAGCAAACGCATCCCGGCATCAAAAAATGACAAAACACCCAAACCATGGAAGAGTGACAGCCAAACAGCTTCAATAGCACAGAGGCTGCACCGGGAGAAAACAGGCAGAGGCAGCTTGGATTAAAGCCAGGGACTTGCTCCAAGGCTGGGTAGAAAGCCCCCCTGTTTACACTAACAGGAGGCAGAGAAACCAGCAGAAGTCGCCTTGGTTAATGGGCTGTCCTACAGTGAATTAAACGGGTAGGATTCCAGCTTATTAAGAGCCTCCTAGGAAAATCATTACCTGCAGGTGCCGTTCCATTCAGAGACATTCCTGCAAAAAGACCCTTGAGTTGTGGAGGGAAGGACGGGGGCATCAGAGGGAAAGGAGTCTTTCATCATAATTTCACTAATCACATTTTCACCTTCAAAATTATAATCAGGACCATCACCCAAATGGACACATTAGAGGCAGCTGCCTGTCAGAGAAATCACCCATGTCTTCCCAAATGTAAATCATCTGAGGACCCACACGGCAGCACGGTTAATGGGAGCGATTGCTGCAAACTGCAGGACTGGGAGGGTCTGGCCTCCCGGGCAGCTGTTCTGGTGGAATATGTGCACTGTGTCCCCATCTAGCTGCTGAACCACTGCGAAGAGAAAAGCTCCATCTTCATAAGTTATCCTTTTCAACTCAGCTGAGAAAAGCCCACACAAGTTTGGTCCTCACTTCTCAGGACGGCTTCTGATGTCCAAAAATGCCTAGTGACCAAGAAGATGGTACTGGCTTAGGTGGAGCCCTTGCAGGTGGCTCTGGTTGAACGAGAAGAAAAGTAACACCTGGGGAGTGGGTTGGTAGGGGCTGTAAAATCTGGGTGCTTCATTAGAGGCCTTTTCAGTGGACCATATAAACACCCATCTCAGCTGCAGTAATGCTAATGGGGTTTAAACATGCAGAGACATTGTGATGAGCAGGGCTGGTTTGTTTACATGAGGGCCTAAGAGAACTTTTCCTTTCTTCATGCACCAAGAACCTCTTTAAAACCAACATATTTATGCAACTGTGCATGTGAGGAAGGAGAGTCACCCTTCAAAAATCCACAGGTTCTGCCATTAGAATACATTCTAGGTAAGCAAGCCAAAAGCATTTTGACAGCTTTTACCCCCTTCACACATTTCTTCACTTGGAGAAGCTTATTGTTTTTCTCTTGTTGTCACTAGGGGAAATATATGATGCCAGGTGCTAATAAAAACAAACAGAGAGAGAAAAACAGAGAGAGACAGAGACCAGAAATGTTTCTGATTTGGCATGTAACAAATGACCTGGAACCTCTTTTGTGATCATAGCAAGCGGAGAGAAGACTGGGAGCGATCAATCTTCGTGCGATTAAAAGAGGGAGGCTACAGGCTGCGGGAGAACATCCTGTTCCATCTGTACGTGAGCACTTCACCCTGCGGAGACGCACGCCTCAACTCCCCCTACGAAATCACAACTGACTGTAAGAAAAAACATTCTTCCCTCTCCTTTTTTCCCCTTTGCCTAGTTTTTTTCCTTTTTTATTTTTTTTTTTTTTTTAAGATCGGTCCTTTCTTTGTTTGCTTGCAGAGAATGTGTTTCAGTTGAGAGCAGAAATGCTGTGGGCTGTATGGTGTTTGTGTGTCTATGCAACTGGTGCTTGGTCTGGAGGAAGATTTGCAGGGAAAATCCAAGCTAGGCATGGTAGTGGGAGACTGCTCTGCGTGCCTGAGGGAGGCTCGGTGGCTCTGCTAGGAAATACGTCCCCAACAGCCTGCATTTCCTAGCAGGAAATGCAACCCCAACAATAAATAAATGCCCTGGTAAGGGTCCTTACGATGTAAGAGATACTTGGAGCCACAGCTGTGGGCTGGACCAGAGATTCAGGTCTCTAGATGGGGATGCCTGGACTTTTCTTGCACCCGTCCTGAGATGTCCAGGCTGCAGCAGCTGGAGCCTCAGATAGAGAGATGATATGATATGATGTGATGTGATATCTTATGATATGATATGGGACATCTATAGCGTTGGTCAAAGTTCAGACAGTATGTCCAGGTGTATGCCACCGAGAGCAGAGCTTGCTGTCCATGAAGAGACATCCCATCTCCACCACATTAACCCAGTACTCTCATCTCCTCACCCCGCAAACATGCGTGTCCCTGTCATTTCTCCACCATCACAGAGGCATGTCCTTGTTGCACACCCACTGCACCAGCTTTGCCCCTGCCTAGCCACAGGGAAAGCCCCCAACAAAGGACAGGGGACTCGAGAGGTCTGAGGCTTATTATCACATGTGCCTGTCATTCCATGGTCCGATGCACGATGCGGAAGGTGCGCTCATCTCTGCCCCTGGGTATTGCTTCTCATACATGCATTTTACAGCACTGTAATACACGTGATGCTGGCTGCTAAATGTACCTGTAATGAGAAATAGTCCTTGCCCCGGCTACCTTGAATGTGAAGCAGGCAAGACAGAAGAATGGATGGAGGAGGAAGCATAGACACAGGAATGTAAAATTAATCATCCAAGGTCACACAACGACCTAACTTCCTCACAGGCAAATCCATCAGATGGTAGTTTCACTCCTGTTTCTTATTTGTACAAGTTATTTATTAATGATTAGGTATTATTCTCCCCAGACTGGAATCTTTTTGTCATGTGTGAAGCAGCAGCTTGCTGGGGCGAGAAAGCAGAATGCGCCTATTCAGGAAGGAAATACACTTCCTTACCTGACATGTTTTTTACATTCTGTCAGCAACGTTTATAAAATGAAGAAAAGTAAGTAAATGTTTAAAAGGCAAAGAGCAAATTGACAAATTTCTGATGAGGTAACAAAAGGAGGAGACAGCATCATCTTAAAAAAACAAAATTAAAAATAAAAAGGCAAATGCCTCTGAATATCAAAAATGAATAGTGAATTTGACCTCCTGCTTCACATGTGCACCAAGAAATATCTAAAAAGGCTTTTTTTAAAAGATTCTCATGGACCTTTTTTGGTTAAGGATCCTCATGTTTTCCAGAAGGCAGGCTTCCTGGGGCACACCTTACTTCCATCAGAAGTGGAAGCACCAAAATATGTAATTTTTTTTCAAGTGTGGTCCATTCTCGAGAACAACTAAGACTCTCCAGGATTGATTCTGCTCTTTCATGTCCGAGGCAGCAGGTGCTTTGGGCAGCTGACAGGCAGCACTGCCTGTCATATGCAGCTGAACCCAGCCCTGGAGGTGGATCATGGATTGCTTCAACAAATGCATAAATCTGGCAGATAATGAGGGAACGCTTCTTCAGATAACAATATGTACAGGAGGCTGTGTTTAAAAATATACGATCACACAACACCTGACTGTCATGCAGTAAACTCCTACTGGGCTCACAAAAATACTTTTCAACAATACTTCTTGATTTTTACACCAATTATTGCCCCACTGCAGAAGCTGAGGTAGGAAGTGTGGTTTACCCAAGGTTACACAGTGACTCAGTAGTGGAACTTGAAGGGGCACTAATCTGGTTTATATTTCACTCTTTTAAGCAGATCCCTCTACCTTTGTCCTGTGCTCTTAAAATAATTTAGCTCTGTATAAAAAGCCATGTTGCCAAAAGCTGTCCTTCAGTGAGATAAGCATTCCCTTTTAGCTCACATTATCCCAGAGACATCTGGGAAGATAAGTATTTTATAATGTTTATCATTTAGATCTTCTCTTTTCTTTTTTTTTTTCACTAAAGAAATAACCTTTCTTTCATCCAGTAATGACAAGAAACTCCAGATGAATGCTGTTTCATTTCTTAAACAACAAAGCAGCCTCTCCTAGTGCTAGCACAAGCCATCAAATGTTACTGATTATTCTCTAAAGATGCATTAACATTTAAAAACTGTGTCTCGCCATGTGGTTTCTGGTTTTGCAAAGGAATATGATAAGCCTTTATCAATATAGGGAGTGAGTAAAATCCACTTCTCAAATCTCCTTCCAAAAATTTCCTATTATCCACCATGTCTCCTCAGCACCCTCAGGGAGGGTCTCAGGGAGACCTCACATTTCCTTCTTATGAGCTTTGTTCTGGTAAGGGAGGAGATAAGCTAGCATGCGCTTGAAACCCAGTTTACTTCTTACCGGATAGTGCAGGGTACCAAGTTTGTGGCATCTGTAAAATGCAGACCTTACTAGGGTTCATATGAATGGCTGCAATGCAGAAGAGAGGTCCAGGGAGCCTGCACCCATGCCAGGTTCATGCAGGAAAGTAAGAGATTTTTTTTATTTGCAATGATGCCCTTCTTGGATCAGAGGTGAGCAAACTTGCTTGTTGATACATCCTTTGTCAGCTCCAAAAAAGGCAAAATCCAGTTGGACCAGGGCTGCTCTGAGCATGGAGAGGAGTTTTCTTTCTCTTTTTTGATGCCTGTACGTCAGGACACTGCAAGAGCTTGCAGAGGGTATTCAAGGGCAGTTGAAGCTTTGGGCAAGGCAGGTACAATCCACGAGAGTAGGGGAGGAGGCTGAGGGGAGAGGTGCAGGTGTGGGTGACAGCGGGAGAGGGGACCAGCAGGGTCAGTGGTGGTGCAGGAAGGCTGGGAAATGCCAGAGGGGTTTCAGACAGTTGTGAGAATTTTTATGGGTTTGTCCTTGGCTCCTTCTCTCCAGGCAGTTTCCTTCCCAAGACTCTTTTCTCTTCATCATTTTCCAAGGTCACACACAAGGTTGTAGCACAGCTATACGGTGAAGAGGCAGTGTGTTCCCAGTATCCTCACCACTCTGCTCCCTCCCACACTCAGCTTCTGCCCCTGCCTCAATTCAGTGCTGTAGGTCAGGGAGCCTGGGACAACATCTCTTTTTCCAGTGCCTTTTCCCTTCTTTTTGCCTCTAAGCAAAGTATGCCTGGATTTCTGACTTCTCCTGAGGCCAGTAGGTTAACGTGGGTTTCCTGGAGGTTTCAAGGGGGCTGATGTTATCCATCATAGGACACATACTCCACCTCACAAGGTGGAGCTGCAGGCATGGGGGCAGCTAGTCCTGGAATGTTTGTTGCATATTTTACACCTTCTCCTGAATCTAGGGCAAACCACAGAATAATCAAGCCCTTGATTTGCTAAAGTGCCTTCCTAGCTAATTTAGGGCTTCTTGACTCATTGCCTTTTTTTTTCAAGAGCCTCTTGAAAAGCAAAATGAATTGCTTAAAAAATTGAGCTAATAAATCCTCCATTTCCCCACTCCTCCTTCCCTGGCAGGATTTTACTTTGTTGTCCATCTTTCTTCTGGCGATGTGCTCCCTCATTTTCAGTACATGGATTGCCAAAGAGACAAACAGAATTTGCCCCAGGGCTCGTCTCCATTCTTCTCCCCTGGGCTACTTTTCTATCTCTTGCTAACATGCTGTATTGCCTTGTACCATTGACTCCTTGATAGCCCAGCTCCTGTTTTATCCCACACTCCCTTTAGGTCTGAAACACACCATTGCATCTGCTCCACATGGGGTCTTCCTCCTGCTTGTCTATTAACCTACAGCTGTGCTGAAGCTCTCATGCACACACATTTGACAGAGCTCTTATCTAAACAGGATCCACTTGCAACCACGTGAGCTGGATCATTGCCCTGGTAGGTGATGTGATGGGGAGAAGATGTGCAATGCAGTTAGTTTTCAGAGAAACTGGGGAACTGAAGAGCACCCTGAAAGACAAGTTTGCACTCTGTACTTCAAGCATGCTTTCACTGCGTAAACCTGTGCTTTCCCTGCTTGTGACTCTGGCTGCTGGATTTTACATCCCATTCTCAGATAAAATGCCCTCTGTTAACCCCCAAAACCCGGGCTGCCTCAAAGCGTTGTCCTTCTTCCACCGGAGACTCAGCACTCTGTGTTCAGATGGGGCTGACCCAGATTACATCAGTACATTGCCCCCAGATCAGAGTCCCTGAAAGCCGTATCTGAGCAGAGGGGCTGTAGAGGGCCAGATTCAAACAGAGGCCATCTAAGGAGCCTGTCCATCTCCAAGAGATGTCCATCTCAGAGAGATGGACACGAATGATCTCCTGTGACTGTCAGGAGGCTCTTAACCCCAGAGCTCTGCAGTCAGGGTCCTGCAGGCAGGTATCAGGATGGAAATACAATGAGGATACTTATGGTACCAGCTGGGCTAGAATCACTCCCAAAAGCATTGGGTTTGGTGAACATTATTGGACGTGCAAGGGGACAAAACCTCTGCCTTCCTTCTGCCAATCCCATGTTTTGTTTAAGAGGTCATATTCTGTTCTTGTGAGTAGATGATGAAGGGTGAAGCATTTTGAGAAGAACCATCCAAATAGCCCAGGGATCCGAAAAGAAATTAGATATCTGTAACTACAAGAAAATACGGGTCCTAACAAATTGATATACTGCTGCGGTTACGAAAATTGAGGGTAACCATAGGTCATGCTTTAGGCTTGAACACTACTATTTGTTTCTTTTGTACAAGTGCTCCCAGGTATCGTACCTCTCCATCATGGCTGCAGGCT